GGGGCAGCTGGCCCAGAGTTGTCAGGTCTGGGGCAGCTGGTCCAGAGTTGTCAGGTCTGGGGCAGCTGGTCCAGAGTTGTCAGGTCTGGGGCAGCTGGTGCAGAGTTGTCAGGTCTGGGGCAGTTGGTCCAGAGTTGTCAGGTCTGGGGCAGCTGGTGCAGAGTTGTCAGGTTTGGGGCAGCTGGTCCAGAGTTGTCAGGTCTGGGGCAGTTGGTCCAGAGTTGTCAGGTCTGGGGCAGCTGGTCCAGAGTTGTCAGGTTTGGGGCAGCTGGTGCAGAGTTGTCAGGTCTGGGGCAGCTGGTCCAGAGTTGTCAGGTCTGGGGCAGCTGGCCCAGAGTTGTCAGGTCTGGGGCAGCTGGCCCAGAGTTGTCAGGTCTGGGGCAGCTGGCCCAGAGTTGTCAGGTCTGGGGCAGCTGGCCCAGAGTTGTCAGGTCTGGGGCAGCTGGCCCAGAGTTGTCAGGTCTGGGGCAGCTGGCCCAGAGTTGTCAGGTCTGGGGCAGCTGGTCCAGAGTTGTCAGGTCTGGGGCAGCTGGCCCAGAGTTGTCAGGTCTGGGGCAGCTGGCCCAGAGTTGTCAGGTCTGGGGCAGCTGGTCCAGAGTTGTCAGGTCTGGGGCAGCTTGCCCAGAGTTGTCAGGTCTGGGGCAGCTGGTCCAGAGTTGTCAGGTTTGGGGCAGCTGGTCCAGAGTTGTCAGGTTTGGGGCAGCTGGCCCAGAGTTGTCAGGTCTGGGGCAGCTGGCCCAGAGTTGTCAGGTCTGGGGCAGCTGGCCCAGAGTTGTCAGGTCTGGGGCAGCTGGCCCAGAGTTGTCAGGTCTGGGGCAGCTGGCCCAGAGTTGTCAGGTCTGGGGCAGCTGGCCCAGAGTTGTCAGGTCTGGGGCAGCTGGTCCAGAGTTGTCAGGTCTGGGGCAGCTGGCCCAGAGTTGTCAGGTCTGGGGCAGCTGGTCCAGAGTTGTCAGGTTTGGGGCAGCTGGTCCAGAGTTGTCAGGTTTGGGGCAGCTGGCCCAGAGTTGTCAGGTTTGGGGCAGCTGGTCCAGAGTTGCCAGATCTGGGGCAGCTGGTCCAGAGTTGTCAGGTTTGGGGCAGCTGGTCCAGAGTTGTCAGGTTTGGGGCAGCTGGTGCAGAGTTGCCAGATCTGGGGCAGTTGGCCCAGAGTTGTCAGGTTTGGGGCAGCTGGCCCAGAGTTGTCAGGTTTGGGGCAGCTGGTGCAGAGTTGCCAGATCTGGGGCAGTTGGCCCAGAGTTGTCAGGTTTGGGGCAGCTGGCCCAGAGTTGTCAGGTTTGGGGCAGCTGGTCCAGAGTTGTCAGGTTTGGGGCAGCTGGTGCAGAGTTGCCAGATCTGGGGCAGTTGGCCCAGAGTTGTCAGGTCTGGGGCAGCTGGCCCAGAGTTGTCAGGTCTGGGGCAGCTGGTCCAGAGTTGTCAGGTCTGGGGCAGCTGGTCCAGAGTTGCCAGGTCTGTGGTAGCTGGTGCAGAGTTGCCAGGTCTGTGGTAGCTGGTGCAGAGTTGCCAGGTCTGGGGCAGCTGGTGCAGAGTTGCCAGGTCTGGGGCAGCTGGTGCAGAGTTGCCAGGTCTGGGGCAGCTGGTGCAGAGTTGCCAGGTCTGGGGCAGCTGGTGCAGAGTTGCCAGGTCTGGGGCAACTGGTGCAGAGTTGCCAGGTCTGGGGCAGCTGGTGCAGAGTTGTCAGGTCTGGGGCAGCTGGTGCAGAGTTGTCAGGTCTGGGGCAGCTGGTGCAGAGTTGCCAGGTCTGGGGCAGCTGGTGCAGAGTTGCCAGGTCTGGGGCAGCTGGTGCAGAGTTGCCAGGTCTGAGGCAGCTGGTGCAGAGTTGCCAGGTCTGGGGCAGCTGGTGCAGGGAGGCAAGAGTCAGGAAAGGAGATCTAGGTAAGGAGGGCTAAAACTGTCATATCTTGAGAAACCTGTCCATAATTTCCAAATCTGGATAAGTAGGTCTAGAGTAGGTTGATCTGGGTAAACAAGGCTCAAAACAACTGGATCTGAGTAAAGACCCCATTATCACAATACTCTACTTAAAAGAAGTCTTTGTTGTTGTTCAAATAGTTAACACAAAAAAAAATTATATATATATCTATATATATAATTTGGTTAAATATGACTGCATTGCTGGCATTGTTGATCTTATAGTATAAGCTTTCTATGCTTCTGTTTTCTTATTCTCGGAATTTAAAAGAGCAATCGAGTTGCCGAAATTCACGGTAAAGAAACTAACGATTATTGAAGGGTAGATTTTCTATAGCATTTCGTTCCTCTTTGGAACATCTTCAGGTAAGGAATAAATATAAAGGTGCAAATAAATCTGAATTACACATGTGAAAGAGGGGAAGTTATGTGTGTGTGGGGGTAAGATGAAGCAATCACACACAGGTGAAGAAATAGGGGAATAATGGGGATGGGAGCCAATTAAACATTGGGCAAGGCAGTGAATGGGGAGAACTCGGTAGAGATGTCGTTATCCAGTGCTGTATGGGAAGGTCTGGATTTGAGCATAGACCAGGCCGCGGGGACACTAAAAAGCCCCGAAATCATCTCAAGATAACCTCAAGAAGGTATTGAAGTCGTTACTCAGCATATTTAGGGTGGGTCTTCTTTCTTTTATGAGTATAACTTCCAGTATTTGTAGTGTTCGCTGTTCAGTGGTTCCATGGCTGTTGTATTTTCTACTAGCATGTTTCTGGTAAGTGTTGTGTTATGTTTCATAACACCTTGGGTCGGATACCAGTGTCCCATCGATCAGAACACTGCACCCCAATGTTTGGTGGTTCATTTCTTTGAGATCATGGAGGGTTAATATTTGATAATATTGAACAAAGTAGGAGGGTGTGTCAGTACTCTCTAGAATAGTGGTGGTTTCATATTGTTTGGTCACATTTTATTTTTTCTAGGAAGGATCCAACACACTACATTTCCGAGCGTGTTGGATTCATTGGAAATACTGTACATTGACATTCAGGAGCCATGACCAAAATTTGACTTGAAGTATGAGGTAAAGGGCACCGGAGATCACCCGAAGACAGGCAATTGGTGCCAGAGATAATTGAAAGGTTGACCAGGCACAGTGCACATTGAAACAAGAACTGTTGGTGGAGCCGCCAGCTGACCCTGTCTGCCTCTCTCCTCCCCCCGAATGAGAGGGAGGGGGGAAGTGGAGCGAACCAGCTCACACTAGTTTCACAAATTTCCGATCATTTACTTACATTGCTGAGGGAGTTCTTTTGGCTGTTTTGAGGCTGCAGTCTTGTTTCTAATCAAGTTGTCTGTTTTGCTTTGCTGACTGTGGGAGTCATCTATTAGTTGTGACAGACATGAGTAAATGTACATAAAATTTACTACTTCTATCAGGGTCCTTTGAGTAGCTGGTTACCTTTTTCAAAAACTGAGTAAGTTTGTAATGCAGGATCTATGGATCTATTTTTGACAAACCAATGTTGCATCAATTTAACCAGATTGTTCACTGTGAGATAGTGAATGATTTCCTCCCTTGTGATTCTCTCTATGAGTTCGCAGATGTGTGATGTAAAGCTGATCGGATGTAGTTTTCTGATAAACTTTTTCTGCCTTTTCTGTGGTGAGCCCCTACGGCTCCCTGGACCTATCAGGCTGATATGTGTTATATTAGTCTGGTGCATCAGTCGTTTGGAGTTCAGCCTACTGGGGACCATGAGCCAGAACCTACCTTTCTACCTGCCTACCTTTCTGAGTGCCAACCTTAGGCTATGGCAGACATGGAAATGTCCCCAACCACGTGGGGGACTTCTATAAGCCTCTCTTTGTCTCTCTGAAGGGGGGGGGGGGGCTAGGGTCTGGCTCGTGGTCCCCAGTAGGCTGAACTCCAATTGACTGATGCCCCAGACTAATGTAACACATAGCCTGATAGCTCCAGAGAGCCTTCGGAGCTCACCCAGAAAATGGCATTTCACTAGATTCAACGCTGTTTTTTTTAAATTATGACTGATGGTTCAAGGATAGTGGATTGAGAAGGAAGGTATGCAATAATACCCTTCTGGTGCATAGGTGAAACTAATGTGAAAATAGCTTCTCTACCAAGAGATTTGTATGTGTCATGGCTTAACTATCCCTATTTCTATTCTTTGTTTACCTTGTTATTTGTCTGTTTTGTTTTGCCCACCATTCACACCCCCCTTTTCTTGGTTAGGGTTATCTATAATCCCATGCTCTCTGTGCCCCTAGAACAGCCAGGTTTTGGTCTCTGGTCTGTTGTAGGCTTTTTATCATTATTATTATTATTAATCCATGTCACGAGGACCTGGCGTGAATTAAATTGGGAGGAGCCATCCAGGTAGCAAGCACCAAGGAGCCACCAAGTATCCAACAGAATTGTTTTTTACGTCAATGTTTATGTTTTTATGGATCTTTCATCACACTTTCATCAGTGACTAGGGTGATGAAAATGCCTGTTTGACAGTGTTAGTTTAACCATGACATGGGCCCGATAACATACATATTTTGCTAATTATATGTACACTGTAGTTTGTTTAGTTGTTATTGATTGATAATATTTTAAAAGTTGTATTTGATTTTAAACTAAGTTTTTACCTAATAATGTTCAGTTGAGATTGTCGTAATGGTCAACCACCTCAAACTCCACATAGGCACCACAGCATATAGACACAGCACACACACATTCAGTGCTATATATACTTTACAATATATAATCATTTGCTGAGCCTCCATCCATGTTAGTCCTACTGCTGGAAAAAGGTTGGAGTGAGTGTGTCGGTCAATGTAATGGTGCAGCGTGCAGCAAGACAAGGATGATCTGTGTGGGCTGTCAATCATTCTTCAACAGTACTTGGACAGTATTCTCAATCACACACACAAACACACACCTTTTGTTGTGCAGATTGTTTGCTGTTTTAGAATGCATGAAACTAGACTAAAAGAATAATATTTTTGTCTACTTTTAAAGATACTTAGCATAACTAAAGCTATCCCTACATAACATTAATTTACATGCAGAATTTCTACTCCAGGTCATCCTACTTGTCTGCAGTTTACGGCTCATATGATGATCTCGGTGAGGCAGTACCGATGGCAGTGCATTGAGTGCAAGTGTTGCACACTTTGTGGCACTTCAGAAAACGATGTAAGTGTAGCAACAATTATAGTGAGAGTTTCATTGTCATTATAATCATATGAAGGTACTTTAGAAAAAAGAAGGGGTATTTTTGCCTATAATAAGTTCCAATTCATTTTCCCATGCATAGAAAATTATGCTTTTACTATGCTTGATCCCAATGCTTGTTCGGTTGATCATCTGCCCAAAAATAGGACAACAAGTATGGGTCAGATAATATATATACAAAGTATGTGTTTCCTCTGAACTGTCAATGTGACCCCTCCTGTAGGTAATATACATATATCATTATGAATGGCCTGAGGCTTGCGACCTGCAGTTAGGCTTATGCCCTAGAGTCAGGCTTACAGCTGTAGCTGATTTAGCTACAATCAGGCTTACAACCTGCACTCAAGCTCACGACCTTCAGTCAGGCATTTGACCTACAGTCAGGCTCGTGGCCTACAGTCAGGCTCGTGACCTACAGTCAGGCTCCTGGCGTACAGTCAGGCTCGTGACCTACAGTCAGGCTCAAGGCCTACAGTCAGGCTCCTGACCTACAGTCAGGCTCCTGACCTACAGTCAGGCTCCTGACCTACAGTCAGGCTCGTGATCTACAGTCAGGCTCCTCACCTACAGTTAGGCTCCTCACCTACAGTCAGGCTCCTCACCTACAGTCAGGCTCGTGGCCTACAGTCAGGCTCGTGGCCTACAGTCAGGCTCGTGACCTACAGTCAGGCTCGTGGCCTACAGTCAGGCTCGTGGCCTACAGTCAGGCTCGTGGCCTACAGTCAGGCTCGTGACCTACAGTCAGGCTCGTGACCTACAGTCAGGCTCCTGGCCTACAGTCAGGCTCCTGGCCTACAGTCAGGCTCGTGACCTACAGTCAGGCTCCTGGGGCCAGATTCACGAAAGCACTTACGCAAGCACTTACGAGCCTGTACATTTTTTCTCAATCTTTGGCGGCTTTGTTTACAATTATTAAACAGTTATATGAGCTCCGAAGTACCAGGAGGCTGTTTATAACAATAACAACAGTTGAATGGGAAGTTTTCATGCTTGTAAACTGTTTAATAAATGTAACCAAAGCCGTCAAAGATTGAGGAAAGATGTACACGTTCGTAAGTGCTTGCGTAAGTGCTTTAGTGAATCTGGCCCCTGGCCTACAGTCAGGCTCGTGACCTACAGTCAGGCTTCTGGCCTACAGTCAGGCTCCTGGCCTACAGTCAGGCTCGTGACCTACAGTCAGGCTCGTGGCCTACAATCAGGCTCGCAACAATCAATCATGTTCAAGACCTACAGTCAGGCTCGTGACCTACAGTCAGGCTCGTGACATACAGTCAGGCTCCTGACCTACAGTCAGGCTCCTGGCCTACAGTCAGGCTCCTGACCTACAGTCAGGCTCCTGACCTACAGTCAAGCTCCTGACCTACAATCGGGCTCCTGACCTACAGTCAGGCTCGTGGCCTACAGTCAGGCTCGTGGCCTACAGTCAGGCTCGTGACCTACAGTCAGGCTCGTGGCCTACAGTCAGACTCGTGACCTACAGTCGGGCTCGTGGCCTACAGTCAGACTCGTGACCTACAGTCAGGCTCGTGGCCTACAGTCAGGCTTGTGGCCTACAGTCAGGCTCATGGCCTACACTCGGGCTCGTGGCCTACAGTCGGGCTCGTGACCTACAGTCAGGCTCGTGGCCTACAGTCAGGCTCGTGACCTACAGTCAGGCTCGTGGCCTACAGTCAGGCTCGTGGCCTACAGTCAGGCTCGTGGCCTACAGTCAGGCTCGTGACCTACAGTCAGGCTCGTGACCTACAGTCAGGCTCGTGGCCTACAGTCAGGCTCGTGACCTACAGTCAGGCTCGTGACCTACAATCAGGCTCGTGGCTTACAGTCAGGCTCATGACCTACAGTCAGGCTCCTGGCCTACAGTCAGGCTCCTGACCTACAGTCAGGCTCCTGACTTACAGTCAGGCTCCTAACCTACAGTCAGGCTCCTAACCTACAGTCAGGCTCCTAACCTACAGTCAGGCTCCTAACCTACAGTCAGGCTCCTAACCTACAGTCAGGCTCCTGGAATACAGTCAGGCTTGTGACCTACAGTCAGGTTCGTAGCCTACAGTTAGGCTCGTGACCTACAGTCAGGCTCGTGAACTACAGTTAGGCGCATGACTTACAGTCAAGCTTGCAACAGACAATCATGTTCAAGACCTACAGTCAGGGGTCCTGACCTACATTCAAGCTCATTATCTTTGTTCATTACAGTATCTGAATAATGGTGGGTCACTTTGGTCTTTTCCTTTATGGGCGAGGCTGTGCATATGGCCTGTCTTCTGGATTCTCAAGGTTTGGCTCTGTGTGCAGTTCGCGTTTGGAATGTGTGTAATGTTCTGGTGAAGAGTTTGGCATTTATCTTGTTGCCATGCAGTGGACCATTGACAATGTGGACTTTCATTGGCATTGCAGTATGTTTAATTGCTTAGAGGAAGCCCTCTTTTTGTTAGTATAGAGCTGGCAGATACTGTGTTATGTGGCAGCTTTCTCCTTTTCTGGTTAAGACTGAGAACTTTGATGGTGGAGACTTAGTTTGTTTGGTTGTGGGGCATCGTCTCTTGTGTCTGGTTGACTGTACGTCATTTCCTCTGTGCCTCTCGTGGTGCATAGGGTGACATTTTCTTCTTCCAGTATACTTGGTCAATGTTCTAGGGCTGTGCCAGATTTGTGTGGCATCGAGTAGAGTGACCCCTAACCGTTTTCTCCCTCTTATGGAGGGATACAGGCTTCTTTTCTCCTCCACCCCCATGAATTCCTCTTGTGTTTTATTCTCTGTGGTGGGATACCAACAGAGAGCTACCATGGGAGCTCTCCTAGAAAAGCAGCATTGAATGTAATGAAACATTTCTACCAGGTGGGTCCTTGGTGGCTCATTGAACCGGCAGTCCCTGTTGCGCAATAGTAACACACTCACCCCGTATTTCGTGCACAATTTGACTTAAGTTTGTATCCTGTCTGGAGAGGATTGACTAAGCTCTGACTATATGCCTCTGTTCACCCAGCAGTGACCGAGTACCTGGTTGTTAAATGATTGACAGGTTGTATTCCAGGGATACTAGTGGGTAAGGCTTACCATGAGCCTTACCAAAAGCTAAGAAAAGCTTTCAGCCTGACAAAAGTTCTGTTCCTGCACCCACCTGTGCTTAAAAAAAACTTTCCCTTTCTAGGGGCATCAGTTTTTTGTGCCTGGATGACTGATGAGTTGTGTAAGCTATGCCAGTAGCTGGGGTGCTAACACCCCTGGTAGTGAGTAGCTGTAACTAGAAGGTGAAATGCCTAGCTACCTGGTGAACCTTTTTCAGTGTTTAATTTTTTGTTTCATTTATCTTGCTGTTGATTGCTGTGTTTCATTCTACTTTTCTGGTGATCTTTCTTGGTCTGAGTGATTTAATATCCTCAGCTTCCTGCATCTTTATAGCAGGAGCTAGATTTTGCCCTCTGGTTCCAGTAGGCTCTCAAGGACTAACAAGCAGTTAGTGTGATTTGAATTGGGTAAAGCTGTTCAGGTTCTTAGCAACAGGGAGCCACCGAGGACCATCAGAAAAAGGCATTTCATTACATCCAACACTGATTTTTCTTCTTGATTTTGATTTCCCAGCTCCCCACGTCTCATGGGGAGCCACCATGGATCTCAGAGCATGGTGTTACTTCTTAAAGCTTGTCTATAATAGTGCTTAAACTCACTGTACTACCAAAAGGCCCACCTGAGCAGGGCATTTCTTTACTGTACATATAATCCTTGAGTTTTTAATGGCTGAGAACGAGTTGCGTGCTTTAAATTATTGTGCACATAATTGTGAAACCCCACAATGTTTGGCTTAAAAAAATGTACTTAAAAATGTGACAATTGCTGCACATTGGTATATATGTGGTATACGTTGCACCTTTATTTTGAATGTAAGGAAGAAGAAGAGGTCACTTGCAGAGCCAGCTAAACACACTGTGTTACTATACACTCACTACCCCCCTTCAATTTTTCAGGACCAGCTATTGTTTTGTGATGACTGTGACCGAGGGTATCACCTGTATTGTTTGCGACCTCCACTTCAAGAGCCACCCGAGGGCGAGTGGTCCTGTGATCTATGTCTCCAGCAGTTCCACTCTAAATAAGGCAGCTGCCTCCTCTAGTTGTTTCTTCCACGTGTCTCCATAAAACCAAGGGTCGCCTGTCCCCTTTCCACCAGTATCACTATACTGACACAGTGTTTCAGAATTAAAACAGCACAAGGTTTGAAAGTTTATATTATTATTGTTGCAACTGACTAACTTTAATATTTTCTATTTATACCAGATGAAAGTAGATTTAAAATCTCCTTATTCATGGCATATTATATGCCTGAAAGAGTATAAGAGGAGCTTGAAAATATATAAACACTTCTCATGGATTGTGCATTACAGTAAACATTAATAATCTGTTTACCAGTCATATAAATACTACAGTAATTGGCTAACTTATAAGTTAATATTATTAGCTATTAAAATTTTTACCGATATATAAGATTGCCTTTGCAAGGCCCTCAGAAAGGTCGGATTCTTCTTAGATAACTAATGGCTACTGTCATTAATAATGACTGGCTATATATATATATATATATATATATATATATATATATATATATATATATATATATATATATATATATATATATATGTCGTACCTAGTAGCCAGAACGCACTTCTCAGCCTACTATGCAAGGCCCGATTTGCCTAATAAGCCAAGTATTCCTGAATTAATATATTTTCTCTAATTTTTTTCCTATGAAATGATAAAGCTACCAATTTTATTATGTATGAGGTCATTTTTTTTTTTATTGGAGTGAAAATTAACGTAGGTATATGACCAAACCTAACCAACCCTACCTAACCTAACCTAACCTATCTTTATAGGTTAGGTTAGGTTAGGTAGCCGAAAAAGTTAGGTTAGGTTAGGTTAGGTAGGTTAGGTAGTCGAAAAACAATTAATTCATGAAAACTTGGCTTATTAGGCAAATCGGGCCTTGCATAGTAGGCTGAGAAGTGCGTTCTGGCTACTAGGTACGACATATATATATATATATATATATATATATATATATATATATATATATATATATATATATATATATATATATATATATATATATATATATATATATATATATATATATATATATATATATATATATATATATATATATATATTTATTTAATGAAAAATTTACAAATGGAAAGATATATATACTTCTTCTTCAATTGATTTAATATAAGAGATGTTTGAGAGTCATTGCTCCATCTTCAGAGCTAAAATAAAGGCCAAATGCAATACTAGCTAAGAACATTAATATATATATTCAGTACTGTCGTTCAAAATTACATAGATCATTTAATGACTTAAAATTACACAAAATTTAAACATAAAGTAAATTATATACAAAATAAAGAGAAAAGTTATATATGACAAAGAATAATAATAAATTCTCAGAAACATACTTCAAGAAGACGACAATTATTACATAAACAACTGAGTCGACAACTCCCGAGCCATTCGATTCAAGTCTCATTCTAGCTATTGAGAGAGTTTCCAATATGTTGAGTACTAAACATAATAAATTAGACAACATAACAGCAAAATCGCTTTAGGTGAAATGATGGCCCATTTCCACACAATTATCTTGAATAGCAGAGGATACAATTGGCCCTAGGAACAAACCAGTACAGTAAGAGATACCAATGTGTTTACAAATACTGCTTATAGTTTCGTGAGGTATTTACCATGCATCGAACATGTAAAAAGAAAGACAACATTTTATCCTAGGGTAAAGGATCTCTGTGTTTTAAATACAGTAGTTCCAAATAGTGTAGTTATTTGTAAACACAAATTGAAAACTAACTTGTAGGTAAGTACGTTTTAGAAAGGAACTTTGTAATATTCTAATATACTGTAATAGCTAACAATAACCAAATTTGACATTATGTATATCTTCAACAATAGGTAGAAATTTTGTATTTAAGAATTTCCTCAGAATTCTATAAAATACTTTGCTAGGAAAAGCATTTAATGCAAAAATTCATGTAAGAACTTAAATATCAAATAACTTTCCTGCATGATCAGGGAATACATTTTAACAATATTAAAGGAAAAGTTTTTTTCTGAATTTATTTTTTTCCTGTGCACCAACTGGTTGTTCTGTAAATCATGCATGCCAGCATGATGGTTGTCCTGTAAATCATGCGCACCAGCATGATGGTTGTTCTGTAAATCATGCGCACCAGCATGATGGTTGTCCTGTAAATCATGCACATCAACAGATGGTCAAGTAAATCATGCGCACCAACTGGTGGTCAAGTAAATCATGCGCACCAACTGGTGGTCAAGTAAATCATGCGCACCAATTGGTGGTCAAGTAAATCATGCGCACCAACTGGTGGTCAAGTAAATCATGCGCACCAACTGGTGGTCAAGTAAATCATGCGCACCAACTGGTGGTCATGTAAATCATGCGCACCAACTGGTGGTCGTGTAAATCATGCGCACCAACTGGTGGTCGTGTAAATCATGCGCACCAACTGGTGGTCGTGTAAATCATGCGCACCAACTGGTGGTCGTGTAAATCATGCGCACCAACTGGTGGTCGTGTAAATCATGCGCACCAACTGGTGGTCATGTAAATCATGCGCACCAACTGGTGGTCATGTAAATCATGCGCACCAACTGGTGGTCATGTAAATCATGCGCACCAACTGGTGGTCATGTAAATCATGCGCACCAACTGGTGGTCGTGTAAATCATGCGCACCAACTGGTGGTCATGTAAATCAAGTATGGAGGAAAAGAGTTAATAATCACTCGCATGTGGATGTGTTTGTCTCATATTTGAATTCTAAACATTTAAATTTTACTTTTACTTATAAAATTGGAGAAAATATCAAAATATTCATTCTTAACTCAATAATTACAGTACTAATATTGGAAGTCACTTGTCTACTTTTGCTTATTGTAAACCTACATTCACAGGATTAGCATTACATTATTACATAAGTTTTTGACTTAAACTTTAAATGTAATTAAAACTTACTAAATAGAGCTTTTAATCTCTTTTTTAGATTATAAATTATTTGATAATGAAGTTAAGTTCTTGCATGAATTTTTGGTATCAAATTCTTTTCATTGCAGAGTATATTGAGGAGTTTTGTGGAAATTATTAAATATTAAATTTCTACCTGTTGTCAAAGATGCATATTATGTCAGTTATCTGTATTTAGTTATCATTAGCTATTATATTAGAAAGGAACTTCATAATGTTCTAAGACCTAGTTATCCACAAATTAGTTTCCAGTTCGTGCTTTCCAATAACTACACTATTGGGAATTTTTTAAAACATAGATAATCTTTACCCTCTATCTTTAGAAAGATAGACAACATTATATCTTAGGGTAATGGATCTCTGTTTTAAATAAAGTAGTTCCAATAACTACAATATAAATAATGACCTCAAATCTGCTGGTGTGTATCCCTTTCAATGTTCATACTGTAATGTTAAGTACATGGGAAATATCTTGTGAAGGTCTTAACACTGTATTTGTGAATGTACGAGTATCTCGTACCACACTGGTTTGCCCCTTAGGCAGGTTGTATCCTGTGTTATTTGAGATCACTGCAGGGAAGCAGGCTGCCCTTTTATTTACAGTGATTTTGCTGTTCTTTTTTCTAATTTGTCATGTTTAATGGTCAACAAGTTGGAAAATATTTTAATATGTTGAATTGAGATCCAAGTTGAAAGTCTTGGATGGCCTCGGTTCACTTGTTTGCACACTAATTGTCCTCTTCTCGAAGTTTCTTCTAGAGTTTTTACATTTTTCTTTCTTGAATATAGCTTTTTCCTATATTTTGTATATAATTTGTTTTAATTTTAAATAAATTGAAGATGTATGTCTTTTCCATCATAGTCATTGTGTAGCCAAATGTGGGAAATATGTAATCAGTTGTAAGTCATCAGAAACTACTATCTCTTATTGCTGGTAGTTTGTGAGTGGATTACTTTGAGGACTACTTTGGGTTGCCCCATTCTCTTGCACACACTACAAGACACAACATAGCATTACCACATGTTCGGTGAGCTCCGTGGTGGCAGGTGTAGCAGTCATCACTGGAGAATGACGTTAAAGTAATGCTGTGAATTTTTACACTGCTTCTGATTATTAGTAGAAGCTTTCTGAGACCTGAAGTGCTGTATGAGTATATCTATATATATATATATATATACATATACATATATATATGTATATATGTAATTTGAATGAGAATGTTTTAGCATATGAAAGAAGCATATCAAATTGCTCTTTTCCAGTAGTGCTTCTAATGTTGTTCATGTAAAGGCATGAGCAGAAGCCAGATCGAAGTGTATTCTTCAGCCTTTATTTTTTGTATGATGTTTGAAAAAACTAGATATAGGTGTTTACTTACTGTAAGTACAGTGCCACTAAATAATGTTGTGGTCAGATGATATTGACATGAGTGTGATGATGATTGATACTTATATAAAGAGAAATTAGTACAAGAAATTAGCTGTAACAAAGTAGTCTGTGTATCCATAATTATTATTTGTGTTGTTCAGAAATGATGAGGTTGCATACGGCTGTTGATGCTTCTGAGTTGTTTAATACATACAAATGAGTCTTGGTTGTGGCCATTTTAGCAGAGTATAAAGTTGATGCATGTCTAAGGGTCAGATCTAGCACATTTATGATGGGATGTGAGAATTGAAAAAATATTCATAAATTGTTTTTAACACTGGGGTAAAGGTTTGCTTTCTCTAATGCTCCATTAGCCAATAGTGTGTGTGTTTTATATAAGAATATTTTTTTCTTTTGACAAAGATGTGCACTTTGAATTTAGGCCTATTTAATGATGCTGTAGATTATTTAGAAGTAATATTCATGATCATTTAATTTCTTGACTGTCTGCTATATCATATACATGAGAGTAAAAATTGATTCTGGCTGACAATATCATGTGGAGGTTGTGTTTGTTTTGTATTTTAAGGGTGGCATGTGTATTATACACTCATCATAGACGTGCTCCAAAATACACACTTCACTACTCCTTCAGGCTTGCACAATTTCAGTTTATATATGTACTTAAGCACAACTAATACCTTGTCAATCAAAGTTTTTAAACAAAATTGAAGAAATTTTGTTATTGATATCTTTTCATTTTTTTAAGTGGTGGTATATTTCAGAAACTATATTTGTTCACAGCACGAGACTTAACACCTTTGTTACTTTGACATACAAACACATCAATGTGTGAAATGTTGATACACAAGATACCAGTGCCTCTGAAATATTCAGCTTGGGAAGTCTCCCCAAACTAGACCAGCAGATGAATACTCCCTGAAGTGCCTGACAGTGGACCAGGTGGCCACAGTCACCCATACTAATATTGTTCAAGAGAAAGGGATGTATCTTTCCTCCATTGATGGTTCTTCTCTTGCCTGCATCACATTATCTGAACCTAAAAAAGGCTTTTGACAGAGTTCCACATAAGGGGTTGTTCTGGAAACTGGAACATACTGGAGGAGTGACAGGTAGGCTTCTAATATGGATGAAAGTTTTTCTAAATGACTGAAAA